CTGGTTATTCTGCCAGTTAGCAAACAGTCAAATGGCATCTGGATTCAGGAGCTTTTGGAAATTGTGAAGCAGAGCTCTTCCTCTGTTTAAGTTACGGTTTTACTTATTTCTGATTTAGTTTTAAAGGTACACTTTGTTTCGTTAGATGTTGTGTCAGCATTGTTTAAAATCCACTTTTGGTTTAGTTTCCATTCGTATGAACTCACTCTCCTGATCAAAGGTCATACAAAGTTTTGCTTGACGTATATATGAGGGAAATTTCCACAATGTAACATTCCTTTCTCCTGCAAAGGAATTTGGTTTGTCATATGTTTAAAATGTAATATTCCACAACTATATATATATATATATATATATATATACATATATGTATATATATGTGTGTGTTTAGAGTTAGCCACGCAAGGATCCGTTCTCGGACCAATCCTCTTTACTTTATATATGCTTCCTTTAGGTAATATTATCAGGAAACACTCTATCAACTTTCATTGCTATGCAGATGATACTCAGTTATACCTATCGATCAAGCCAGATGAAACTCATCGGCTAGCTAAGCTTCAAATGTGCCTTCAGGATGTTAAAACCTGGATGACCTGCAATTTTCTAATGTTAAACTCAGCTAAAACTGAAGTTATTGTTCTAGGGCCTAAACACCTTCGTGACGCATTATCTAGAGATATAGTTTCCCTGGATGGCATCGCCCTGGCCTCCAGCACCACTGTGAGAAATCTTGGAGTTATCTTCGATCAGGACATGTCGTTTAACTCTCACATTAAGCAAATTTCAAGAACCGCCTTCTTTCACCTTCGTAATATTGCAAAAATTAGGAGCATCCTGTGTAAAAATGATGCAGAAAAACTAGTCCATGCATTTGTTACTTCTAGGCTGGATTACTGCAATTCCTTGTTATCAGGGTCTTCAAAAAAGTCCATTAGGACTCTTCAGCTGATCCAGAATGCTGCAGCACATGTTCTTACAGGAACCAGAAAAAGAGATCATATTTCTCCTGTCTTGGCTTCTTTGCACTGGCTTCCTGTTAAATCCAGAATAGAATTTAAAATCCTTCTCCTTACGTATAAAGCTCTTCATGGTCAGGCCCCATCTTATCTTAAAGAGCTTTTAGTACCTTACTGCCCTACCAGAGAACTGCGCTCCCAGAATGAAGGGTTACTGGCAGTTCCTAGAGTCTTGAAAACTAGAATGGGCGCTAGAGCGTTCGGCTATCAGAGTCCTCTTTTGTGGAACCAGGTTCCAGTTTGGGTCCGGGAAGCAGACACCGTCTCTAT